AAAATAAAATTATTAAAAATTATTAAAATATCAAATAAATTGAATAAATTCAATATTTATATTGAATTACATTTGGATACGTGTTGGAGGTTTCTTCTCATCATTATCTTTGAAACATCCTTCTTCTTCCTCTCTCCCTCTCTTCTTCCTTGCCTCTTGACCGTCTTTTTCACTCTCCTCTTCCTCATCTTCACTGCAGTGTAGTTCTCCATATTGTGCCAGTCATTGGACAAATTCATTATGACCGGCCAACCCAAGTTCGGTGTGGCATGCTGAACATTTTCTGTCCTGATATGTGCAGCTATTTTCAGGTGTTGGAAAAAGATAGTTGAGATCACTTAATCTGAAAACCAATTGAACCCCTTATAACTTTTGCTGAGGCCAAATGAAATATGAAGAATAGGAAATAAAATATCACTGACCAAGGTCACAGTGAACATCACCAGCATGGGTTTAGCCTTCCCGATCAGCTAAGTCATATGCAATGTCACTCTCCTTTTTCAACTCTAGTGAAACCTTTACCGTTTGGAAATGCCTGGATTGACCATGGGTTTATAGAATTGACATGCCTGATAAGAGTGACCCTGTGGCAAGGCGAAGACCAACGGGTTCCCCTCCTCCCTGTTCCCTATGTTATACAGCCCGACTTGCAGATTCTGCTTCCTCCGTCATGACTCTAGCTTGTCATTATTGCCTGTTATTCTGCTAAACCATGGAGTTCAGCTCTGATCAACTAATAGGAGTAAAGAGCTAGACAAATAGTCACACTGTTGTATTAATTACTGACATTTTTGGAGTTGTTCCTAGTTCTCTGGTGAGTTGGCAGCATCCTATGTCCATACAAGTGCCAGTAGTCTCTGGAGTACATGTAATTCCTGGGACCTAACAAAAATCTTTAAATTAAAGCTCCAAGTGTAAAAGGGAGGTACACATCATCTATTCAGTATTATAGTGGGTCTCTTGCATCAATCTACCTGCTCTGGAAAGGAATTAGCCAGAAAGTCCCTTACCTACTCAAGACCAGGTATGATTTCCATGTCCTCACCTCTAGGGAATTTCTTTCTGACCGTTCTTGAAATTTGAACTGAGTTTATTTTATCTCAACTTTTCTGGCATATTATGTCCATGAATGCTTCCCATTCTGGATCCTTGGTGTTCTCTACCCTACATTCTATTTATCTATTTGTTTATTCGATAAGCAAACAATGAACACTTATGCTCTATAGGGGACAGATATTGGACTTACTTCCCTGGGTACAAAATGATAACACACATTGTCAAAAGGTATGGGCAGGGGGAGTGTGGTCTACGATCCATAATGAATGGCTTTGCATTCACTCCACTGGCTTGAATCTGCTAAGTGGAAACTGACCAGAGGTAGCCTTTTCAAGTTACCTATGTCTAATGCAGATTTTTCAACACAAGATTCATCAGTATAAACTTTAATCTAGGTGAGTGCCTATGATGGTTGATTGGTCTCCTTGTAGGAATAGATTCTCTTTGTCTCTCTCTCTCCTCCATCAGTGGCTGCCCTTGACCGTTGCTGTGGATTAGATTTGGCTTTCAAGATCAAGAGGCTCCTGCCACAGACTCGATACTTCAGTGTCAAGGAGAGGAAGGATAGCAAGTGCTACTGCAATGAAATGCAGTGTCATCAAATTATGAGAGCTAGGGGCTTTGTATTTAGTAACCCCTAATAATTTGTTCCTAGATGTGTTCAGTGCACATGCTGGCTCTGCTATCCCCACGTAGCTGGCTGGATGTTTTATATCTACAACATCAGGCAACCCTCTAACATGTGATACTGATAAGATGCAGTGCCCTTCATGGGGTCTAGGCAGCCCTTCCGGGTTGATACCAAGATGCTGTGGTAAGAACTGGGGCTGAGACTCAAAATTTACACAAATGGGTGCGTGTGGGTATGCACACACACTACATACATGGGTTTAAGGTATTTCATTTCCTCTATCAAAAATACTACATTTAAATAATGGGTCCCACGTGGCGGAATTTTGGGCAGAACGGGGGAGAGTTTTATATCAGTTGACCATTCTTTTTTTTTTTAATGTTCATTTATTTTTGACAGAGAGAGAGACGGGGCATGAGTGGGGGAGGGGCAGAGAGAGAGGAAGACACAGAATCTGAAACAGGCTCCAGGCTCTGAGCTGTCAGCACAGAGCCCGACGCGGGGCTCGAACTCACAGACTGCGAGACCATGACCTGAGCCGAAGTCGGATGCTCAACCGACCAAGCCACCCAGGCGCCCCAGCAGTTGACCATTCTTAATCCCCCTTAAATTCACTTTATCCCAAAAGTCTATTATCTACTTTGTTCAATCTAGCCACAAGCATAGGGCCTGGTGGTAACATTGCTGTCTTTCTTTTTTTTTTTTTTTTAAATTTTTATTTCAACGTTTATTTATTTTTGGGACAGAGAGAGACAAAGCATGAATGGGGGAGGGGCAGAGAGAGAGGGAGACACAGAATCGGAAACAGGCTCCAGGCTCTGAGCCATCAGCCCAGAGCCTGACGCGGGGCTGGAACTCACGGACTGCGAGATCGTGACCTGGCTGAAGTCGGACGCTTAACCGACTGCGCCACCCAGGCGCCCCAACATTGCTGTCTTTCTAGATGAGGTTGAATTTAAGAGCTTCAGGTGTGTTTGCCTCAGCTGAGACTTTTTAGAAATGCTTCCAGTTTAACACAATTTTATGTACATTCCTCCAAATACTTTTAATTTTAGTCATGATGTTGAGATAAATATGATCCACATTTTCCCTTTCATCTAATGAAATGTCAGGTGATCTTTCCAATAAAAAGGGGGTCTCTTAAGGGCTAAAACACAGGGATTTGATTTTTCAAAATTAAACACACTATGATTTAAAAAGTCTAGGATTGTTTCAGAGTGTGAAGTTAACAAACACAAGATGAACTTGTAATCTAGAAAAATATATCCCTCTTCCCTTTAATTCTATTTTTACTACTATTTTATAAGAAAACAATAGAAATGTACAGAGCAAAATGGACTCTCTTGCTTTTAAAGTCTCCCCCCCCCCCCCCCCCCCCCCCCGCCCTTTTGTTTAGTTGGTACTTTGGAACAGTATAAAGTACCGTTTCTCAGGGAGTTCCACGGAACACAAGTCCCAGAAAAGTTACCTCACTAAAAACGTTCATCACCAGTTAAATGTAGAAATTATTCAACAGCATATCCTGTCTGGAGATTTACAATGTATGTTACCATCTGGAGGCTCTGAGAGAATAGAAGGTAGTAAAAGAACAGTGTAGTTAGATGTATGGACTTTGGACTCAGACAACTTGGGTACAAGCTCCAAGTCTGCTATTTACTGATTGTGTGACCTTGAGCAAGTGCCTTAACCTCTTTAAATGTCAGTTTTCCCATCTCTAAGATGGCCATCAAAATAGTACCAACCTTACAGAGTTGTCGGAAGACTTCACTAATAGCTTCGATAATGTACTTAGCAGAGTGCTTGGCACATAGAAAGCTCTCAAATTTTTGATACTTATTATTGTATTGTTATTATTAGAGGTGGCTTGGGGTCTACACCTTAGCTACTCATAAACATTCAGGTCTCTGCTGTGATTTCCGTCTTGACCTTATCATTCAGAGGCGATAGATTTGCACAGATAATGGATCTCCCAACAAGCCAGCTTTCACATCTGGAATCTGCTCCAAACATGATCTACACTTTGAAGTCTAATGAAGCCAATCTCACTCACAGGCAAACTACAGAGAGGAGTTTATCTACACCAGTTTAGCTATCTAACTTAACAAGTTTATCTCCCTTGTCATTCTGTCCTTTCAATCCTTTCCTTTTTATTTTATTTACTATTATTATTATTATTTTTACTTACTTCTTGTTATGCTTTTCAGCTGCAGTACTGCTTTGGCTGATTTTGTGTTCCCCTCCCTCCTTCTATCCAGCATTATACTGAACCGATTTCAGGCAACTTGGCTATGCTTTGTTAACCCAGCAATTCAACAAATAGTTACTGAGCACCTAAGTGGTCCTTGAATTTAGGTATCGCTTTGAACATGCAAGCCCAGGATATGACTCCGGTAAAGGCAGAGTCTGAATGTTTTCCTAACACGAGGGGGGGAAAAAAACCGAAAAGAAAACAGCTTCTTTGGCAAGCTACCTGATTAAAGAGCTGAAATTCAAGAAGCCCTCTGGTGAGGAGAGAGAGACTGTGAGCACAACAGGAAGAAGCCATAGACCCAGTAGCAAAGGTTGAGTTTTCCTGTCGCAAGCACACTTCTTTTTCCATACGCCCTCTCTCTGAAAGCTGCTGACAGAGCTTTGGCAAAGATTCATCCTCCCGTTCCCTGATAAGCTAAGCCCTACTTTATATTTAACTCACTCCTGAGCAGGAGGGGTGGAGTGGGGATGCCTCGTTTATAAGGGGAGCTGTGACAGTCTTCTCGGCAGTCCTCTTCCTCCAGCTCAGCCTGTCTTCTGGAGCCCTTATCCCACCCCCTGGTTTCCGCCTTCATCCTTCAGTGGCCGGTGGGGAACGTGAGGGGAGAGGAAAGACGCAAGGCTGTCAGAGAGGGGTGTGGGAAAAAGGAACACAGGCTGCCAAGCCAGGGAATTCCTAACAATTTAAAAAGGAAGTCAGCTGACGTTAGTTAGTTAAATTTAACATCCTTTTATGTGCAATATTTGACTTTGGAAACAAAAATGAACTTTGCGGAGGGAGAGGCCTCCAAGAGATACTGCATTAAAACGAAACATGTGGCTATTATCTGTGCGGTGGTGGTGGCGGTAGGATTAATAGTAGGACTTTCCGTGGGCTTGACCAGGTCGAATCACTCCAGCGGGGACGCTGGGCAGGGCACAGCTCCGGCTCCTTCCCACTCTCCTTCCACCGAGAGCCCTCCGCAGGACCAGGGGGTCTGCCCTGCCAGCGAAGATGAAAGTGGAGGCTGGAAAAACTTCAGGCTGCCGGACTTCATCAACCCAGTGCATTACGACCTGCAGGTGAAGCCCCTGCTGGAGGAGGACACGTACACAGGCAGCGTGACCATCTCCATCAACGTGAGCGCGCCCACCCGGCACCTGTGGCTGCACCTGCGGGAGACCAGGCTCACCCGGCTCCCGCAGCTGAGGAGGCCCTCGGGGGAGCAGGTGCAAGTCAGGCGGTGCTTCGAGTACAAAAAGCAGGAGTACGTGGTGGTGGAGGCGGGAGAGGAGCTTGCACCCAGCAGTGGCCAGGATGTCTATCACCTGACCATGGAGTTCGCCGGCTGGCTGAACGGCTCGCTCGTGGGGTTTTACAGAACGACTTACGTGGAGAACGGACAGATCAAGTAAATATTAACTTTTGCTTCCTTTACCCTCGGCTCGCCTACTTGTTTTTCATTTCTTTTCCTTTCCTTTTCACTTCCCACTTTTTAATTGTTTCGTTGGTCTGATTGTTTTCTAAACTTGGTTTCAATTCTGCCTGTTCGCCTGGGAGACAAAAACCCATGCCCTGCTGTATTTTCCAAGCCTGTCCTAAAACTTGAAAGTATTGAGTGAGCTGCATGGAGTTCAAAAAAATCAGTGTAACTCTTTTATTTCATCGGGAGAAATCATAATGTACTGCATCCTGTCGGAATGCAGAAACTACCTACAGAAACTACCTCAGATTTTTAAACTACACGTGTTTGGCAAATTTCACTGCCATTAGTCTTGGGCTGTAGGACAGTGATTTTAAACTGAACTTTAAAAAATGTATTACACTAAATTCAAGTGAAAGTCAGTAAATGTCAATTATAATCTTGAGTATTTTTTTTTGGAGAAAAGATGTTGAAAGAGTATGTAGAATCCGTGGAATTGTCTCTGTGTCTGTATCTAGGAAGGAAGGCAGGATTATGTCTTTGTTTTATAATGGCCAGAACCATGTTTCACTGATAAATTTTTAATAAACACTCACTGAGTCCACCCATTAGTGGCAGCACACGGATAAATCTTTGGGCTTATTGTCCATCATGCAGTATGCAATGGTAATGCTCCATAAACGATATATTGCAATATAAAAGATATATTAGGTAATTAAAGACATAAAAATATATTAAGTAATTAGTATACGTATTTGTACATTTCCGTGTTTAGCAAAGATGGTTACTTGCCTTGACAATCAATCAGATGCTATTACCAGAACTATGTTAAAGGCATAAACTCTCTCAATGAATTAAAAAAAAAAACCCTTCACTCTGTGGGTGTGGCCCTTGCATCAGGAAGGAAAGCTGTACTGAGGTATCACTGAACTTGAAACTGCTTTGACCTTGCTTACATGGATTCTTGACAAGTAAATGATTAAGTGTCACCATTCACAAATGTGAGTCTGGGCCAGCCCACTGAATATCCCTGCCCTATGTTGTTTTAAGCATCTTGGAAACCATTGGAGCAAAGTAAGCCTTTTGGTCAAAATTCCTCCTACTGTTTGTCAGAGAGACCCAGGGACTAAAATGAAATGTTTAAGTATCTCTGTCTTACTGTGAGGTACACTAGTAAATTGAGCAGAAATGATAATTTGAGAAAATATTTGGAGAGCACGCTCATTTAGATACGATATCTTAATATTGTTAGTAATAAAACAAGCTTCTTTTTGGCTGACATTTTTTTCTCCTTACAAAAATTAAAAATAATGAAAGCATGGAAAATTATAAAGATGGAAAATAAAAAAAAATAAAGAGAATTTTCACATCCAGTGGTAACTTTGGTAACATGTTAATGAATATTTTTTAGGCAATCAAATTGTAATCATATTATGTCTATGTATCTACATACCTTTTTAACTTCATATAAGCATTTCCTCTCATTCTTCTATATTTTCAAGAATCTGATTTTAAAGACTCAGCATGCGCTAAATTAAATATTAGCAATGCACTAATAATAGTGCATTATTATTTAACCCCTGTTTCCTAATACTGGACATTTAAGTTGCTTTCAGTATTACAATAAACAAGTCAGAAAAGACCATAGTTGTAAGTAAGCCTTTAAGTATATATCTGTTTATTTCCTTATGTTAGGAGATATCCAATAAAATAGAATTAATTGCTGGGTCAAAGAGTACAAATATATCGAGAAACTTGTAACATTTATTTTGCTTATTTCATAAATGACACACCTTCACTGCAGAACACTTGAACCAGAGAAAATTGCTCTCACTCAGGTATAGTCATTGTTAATATTTAAGTAGGTATTCTTCTAGTATTTTTTCTGAGCACAGATAAACAGGGCCTTATGTTGTACATAGTATCATGTAACAAGCTTTTAGAATATATCCCCCCTTTACGTGATTTGTAGATGGTTTAATAGATACATGATCATTGATTATATGAATATAATCAACTTTTCCATTAAATTTGGGCATTGACGTTTCTCCTACTCTTTTACCTTTTTTAATAAATACCCATAAAAATGTAATAACATCCTTACAAAAATATGTGTAATGCTTTCTAATATTTCTCTAGGAAACTTCCTAGGAAATTGGCCCAAACTACAAAGTACATATGTATGTATGCAGGTGTGTACGTATACACACATATGCATATATATAAGGCATGTGCATGTGTGTGCATGTGTCTCCAAACTGAATTTGAAAGATCTGTCCCAGATTTCCTTTCCACAAATGATGAGTAACAGTGTCTATTTCTCTGACCTTCGCTAGTGATTAAATGAGTTTTTAGACTTTCCAATTTGGGGGGGGAAAGGCCTAGTATTTGGAAGAATACTCACTTTCAAGAGATTCTAAAAATTCATTAGTTAAAGTGAAAACAAGTCAAAACTTTTAAGTGATTGTTGCTAAGACGTTAAAATCGTTTCTTGGGTTGAGAAAACAATAGAGATTTCCTCTGAGTAAAGCCAGCAAAATATTATAAAAATTCTGTGCACGACAGAAGGCCAACAAAGATGGAACAAGATTCCATTAATAAATTTCTGTTATGTATTTCACAAGTTTAAAAAAGCACTATGTGCGAACATATATAGTATTCATTCAACTCTGGATTGTTTTACTGGCCAGGTAATTTTACCGTAAGATATATACACCCGAGAGCCGCTATTCTGAAACTCAGCTGTCTGTGATTGTTGTTCAGCAAATCTAAGTTACAGCAAGATTGGCGAGATGGGGGGGGCTCAGGTTCTCGTGGAGGATTGGGAGCCCAAGGTTGTCTGCTTTTATCAGTAGTAGTTGACGCTATCACATTACACAGGATGCTGCCAGTTCTTCACTGCATACATGGTTTGGGAACAGTCCTGGCACGTACTCAGGAGCCTTAGTTAGGCTAAATGGACCCCTTTTTGTTTATCTTGCTTTGAAATATTTCAAGTGTATGAGGAAAGTCCATACATTTTTTTATTCCAGCCTCTACATAACATTTTGACAATGCAGGCCTATAGGGGTTCTCATCCACAGTGTCCATATAAGGACGCAGGAGTGAGTTCATTGGGAGCAGCACCTTTCTTTCATATTATAGAGCGAGCTGCGTGATATTTGATGCACATGCAATTTAAAATACCATCATAGCAGTACGCTTTTTAAGTATACAGTCCAATGATATTTTCTGCCTCTTCTGTCTTATTGTAAAATTAAACTCCAGGACTGAGTACTGGCTGTTGCATATTATCATTGGGATATTATCGTTGCCACCACAACGCAAACTCAACACGAGTGTGCTCAGTAGCAACCAACATTTCCTGATTTCTGCATATACAACCAGGACTTGAACTTGAATGTCACAGAGAGGAACCAACCGTCTGGGCTGCTTTCCCTCAGATTCAGAGGCAAGAAGAGAGTTGGAGAAGAAGGTAGAGTCAGTTTAGAGCTCCCTGGCATTAATACCCACCTGTCATCTTGCTGGGGACAGAGCTATAGTGAGGCTTAGGAGAAGAAAGTTTGAGAAACTTAAAAGTCATTTTTTCCTACTTTCTGGTCTGTTCCTTGTGATCGGAAGAAACTACTTTTAAAAGGGTCAGAACCTTTGGAATGTTTTTCTGAGCATACCGCTAATACCCGCCACCCTCTCACTGTGTTGTGTAGCAAACATTTCCAGTGGTTCCGTTCCCAAACAGAGTTGCCTTCTTCTCGTCTCCAAAGTGTATACTGTTTTCTTCTCTCTAAGGGTCAGCATTTCCTTCTTGGTATTTGAGCTACTCTTACACAGCATTTCCCAGCTTGCTGTTCCACAGAGTTCTAGTTGAAAAGGATATTAACAGATATTTCCAGAACAAAATCAGGGGAGGGATTCTGTGGCCAAATTAGTTTGGGCAATAATACTAAATACAAAAAAAAAAAATGTGTTTCCTTTTTTTTTTTTTTTTTAATGATGGAACTTCTGAGAGACTTTTATAGAATAACATACATTATGAATCTCTAGAGACTGCCATGAATCTCTGGAGTATGCAGTTTCCCAACTGTGTGAGGCTGTGAAATCTTCTGTGGGTCCCTGAGAGCAGGGCTGTCCCTCTCTTGTTCACTGTCTAGCACACAGTGTACTTCGATATTACTGAATGAATATAAAGAAGCATTTTTATGTAGGCTCTCACATGACTATTGTCCTCTGGCACATGCTGGGACATGCTGCGTAGCCAGAGCCCTTTTCCCGTTATGCAGTCCAACGTCTACCAGTAACCTCTCTGTCTTCCCACTCAGTCAGGACGGACATTTTTTCTGGGTTCCTTTTCTCCCCATCTCCTCAAAAGGAAGAGGAATTGGTAAAAAAAAAAATTTTTTTTTAACTTAGGACTGCAGTCTTCATATTTCAAGGACTGAGAATCATTGGAATTAGCAGGAATTACAATTAGAATTTACACGAGGGACAGATGGAGGCTAGTTTGGGTTTTCTGGGTATTCACAGCATTGCTAGGATTGAAGCTGAATTCTGATATAATGGTGGGATGTCAAAAGGCAGAGGCAAGCAAGAACATAAAAGCAGATAAAAAAGGAAAGGCACAAGTGAGAAAAGCAGAGTGAGGAAAAGAAATTAGCTTGTAGGAGAGGTTTAGATGAAGAGGTGAGCTGGAGATAACTCTGGAAATTTCATTGCGGGGCATGGGAAAGAAAGGCTAGCTAATGGCAGGCATGTAGGAAAAATTAACTAGCAGCTATTTAGGTGGATGGTGAGGGAAAGAGTTAAGTCCCTGTGGGGGCACATGGGAGATCTTGCAGTGATCCAGGAGAGAGAAGATGGGGATCAGGTAGAACAGTTATTTCAGGACAGACAGAGGAGAACACAGTGGAGAAAATCGTTTGGAGGTGACATGGTCAGGCTTTGAAGACTGCTTGACTGTGAGAAAGAGGTGAGTTAGTTATGTGTACAAT